TTACCACCGATCTCTCAGTACACGAGGGTACAGTTAAATAACACAATATTACCACCGATCTCGTGAGCAAAGCTCAATAATATTACCACCAATCTCATTCATATTCACACATAGTCATCATCATCAAGAAGATTAAGGTTCATCAATAGCCCAATCAAGTGTCAACAAATGGTAAAACAATTTGTACAAGATAACGTCATAAGAATCAACCAAGAGATTTCAATAAAGACATGAAGCAATACTCAACAACAATGGACTACAATCCAACATCAAAATGATTGGCGACACGAGTTGCCAATCCTCAACAAGAAGGAACAAACCATACATACTAGCATAACAACATCAAACTAGCATGCTCATCAAACGGATAAACCAAAATGGTTCCAACGAACCTTCAAGATTCACATTAGCCCAACGAATCACAAGGTTGGACCCTTAGCACGATTCAAGACACCAAATCCTAACATGGATTCCTAACTCATCGTTCTAGACATACGAAACATCAAGAAGACTCGCAAAAGCTCAATAATCAAGCAACGGGAGGTCAAAACATCAAATACCAAGAGGAAAAGATCATGGGGAAATAACTCCCCGCAATCCCATCAAGGTTCCCCGCGGGTGGGGCCACGGGTAGGCCCCCACCCGTGGGCCTACCCGCGGGGTACACCCCACATTCACCTCGTTCCCCACGGGTAGGGCGGCGGGTAGGCCACTGCCCGCCGTATCCGCTCGCGGGGTACACCCTGTACTCCAATAATTTCCTTCGGAGAAAATCATCAACAAAGCCAAGTTCAAGTCCAAAACACCCAAAACCTCACACACAACAAAGATATGACTTGAACCCAAAAATAGCTCAAAGAAAGACATTCAAGAACCCTAAATACAAGCTCTAAACATGCATGATCACAAGGTCATGCATCAAATCACTCACAATATCATGAATCATCAAATAGAAGCCAAGAAATACCAATACCAAGCATAAAATAGGTTTTGTAGAGCATGGGTTATCTTTGTAGACCAAAAACCCACTTTCTTCTTACCCTCCCAAGCCTCTCCTTGAAGCTCTTCCTCACCAAGGACTTCTCAACAAACCAACCCACAAGGAAAAACACCAAAATAAGATAAATATACCTTTAAGCTAGCTAAAAACACTAATCAACTAGAGATCTTACCATTTCCTATGCTAGAGAGGTAGAAAGGTGGAAACTTTAGGTGAAATCTTGCAAAGATAGAGAACCCTTCTTCTAGCTTGGAGAGAAAGCTAAGATTTCTTGTAGAGAGAAGGTGTAGAGTTTATGATTTGACTAGAAGATGATGAATGAAATGTGTCTTGCTAGGGCAAGCTTAAACACCAAGCATGTGTGAAAGGACAAGTTTACCCTTACTAAAAGGCTAGGAAGACAAAAGGCTAGGTATAAAGCACAAAGCAAAAGGTACTCATGGTTGACTAAGGAAACTAGTCAAATTCTAGTCCCTTGACTATTAAATTTCAGGATTTATAAAAGGAACTTATCAAAGGAAAATTAGGATTAATTCTTCAATTAATCTCAATTAAGGGTTAGATTTACGGGGTGTCACACAAGTATTAGCCCCAAATAATAATATATTAAAGAATCTGAGAGCTCAGGCACATAGGTTCATAAACTCTTTTCCCCAAGAATCTCTAAAGAATTTAGCCAAGCATGGCTAAATTATACATAGAAAATATATTTAAAGAATTACAAATCATCAAAGAGAGTACAAGAATGAACCAAGCGATTTTCCCAAATCTCCTTAGCTTTCTTCTTGCTTCCCAAGATGACTCGTGGCTCTTGATTTTCTCCTCTTTCGTGTCTCCAAAGATCTCTGAATAATTTTTTAGGGTTGAGGAAGGTGAGAGTTTATAGTTGGAACCAAACCCGGAGAAAATATGAATCCCCCTAGGATTGAGGGAAGATGGACTTTTATAGTGGGAGCCCAATAGGGATAAAATAGGAAGTTTCCGCAACTTAAATTCTCGCCCAGGACATAGGTCCGATTTGCAGGCTTGTTTTTACTGTTTTCACGTCTGATTTGGACTTCAATGTCTTGATAATAGTTAAATCCCTTCGAGTCTTCTTTCCAATGGCACAGGAATCACCTCATTTGGACATTTCTAGGCTGAGATATGGTCCAAAAACCGAACTGTCGCCAATCTATGCGAGAACTTTTACTGATGAAACGTCACTGGAAATTGTCGCCGCTTCGAGTCTGGTGCTCGATGCGTCGAGTTTAAAGCTGCATACCAGATTGTAGCCATTCAAGTCTTCTTTCCAATGACGCAAGAATCACCTGAATGGGACATTCCTAGCATGAGATATGATCAAAATACTAAGCTGTCGCCGAATTCAGCGGGAATTCCAACTCTTTGCTCTTTTGCTTCATTTTTCCTTGTTTGGTTCTTGTGATCAAATCCATTGAAATCAACACTCTTTGGCTCTCTTTCAAGCATTTTAGCCACTTCCTTATCTCCACCTTGACTTTGTTTTGGCTACAAACTCGTCCTATAATTTTTCTTGCTTTTGCACTTGACCTATAATGGTTCCAAAACACTAACAAACAACGTAAAACATTCAAATCAAGTGTAAAACCATATCTTAATGATAAAACAAGGGATTATGCAATTAAATTACCAAATTCATGAACTTAAGCCTAACAAATACATTCAAACTAATACTAGAAATATGCACAATTAGACTCACATCACATAACAAATCCATTTTACTAGAAAGAAAGCTCCAAGACATGAACATATTGACATTATTCATCATGTATGAATTGAAACATTTGGTATCATCATAAAGCCATACAACTCAGATTAACATGTGACAACACCTAACTAGAGATAGATCATATAGGAAAGTCGACAGTACTTGGGAGGTGGCTTCTGAGTGGGCATGCAACAAACCAAACCACTTCTTTAACAACATCCTCTGTCTCGAGTATTTCACTGCTGGAAATTATGAAATTTCCGACCACCTCAAAGTGATCTTAAATCAAGTCGAAAGCCTTATTTCGACCACTTTTGGTATCCGGAAAAATCTTTATTGCTATTTCCGACCACTTTTTGCTTTTGACTTGATTTAAGATCACTTTCAGGTGGTCGGAAATTTCATAATTTCCAGCAGTAAAAGAATAGACTTTAGGAATGTTATTCCAGTGTTTGGTTGGTTTAAGGAATAGAAATAAAATATGTGTAAAAGACATAACTATCCTTATACAAAATATATAATATTATTATGATGATTATTATTATTAGGATTTTTGTCTCTTTCTACAAACATATCAGAATGTGGCGATGAATCGTGACAGCCATAGGTCTTCGTCTACTGCCCCTTTGCCGGCAATCTAGCCGGCGGATTGTCAATCGGGTGACGGGGATGGAGTTAGGGGTGGGTTGTTTTCGTTCGCCAATGATCGAAGGGATGATTGGAGGCCCTTTGAGATATCTGGTGTTCTGGTTGTACCTTCGTCAAAGGAGTATTTGCCAGTGTTTCGGACCTTGCATGGAGGATCAGATGATTTGGAGGGATCTGAGGATGTGCAGAGATCATTCGACGCTACTCAATTGGATTATCGGAGGCCTCCGGATTCTTCGGGAGTTAGTGCACTGCCGACCGCTGTCCACCGGGCTGAGGAGCCTAGCGCCGGAAGGGATGGTGGCGATGGCATCAGAGGGGTTGTGATTGCTTGTCCTCCAGGTTAGAACTTTGTTCGTAATAATCTCCAATGTGACACCCTCGCTCTGGGTGACAACGGAGCTTCGATCGCATCTGCGATTGGTGCCACGTCAAGAACTAATGGCTTTCCGACTAGGAGGTTCCCACTGGCGAGTTTCGGTGAGCCCAATGCTCTAGAGATGATGGGGAGGGTGGTCTTGGCCCTGTCTGATAGCCCCCTCGCGAGAGAAGGTTTGGAGGATGTTAGGGATGCTTAGAGACCACCCGCCGTTGCATGGACGATCGAAGGGCTTGGTTGGAATTGGGGATGCGTCGAGGTCATTCGCCAATGACCGGATGTCGATTGGAGGGCTTCCATGCTATTTGACAATTTGATCGCACCTTCGTCAGTGGAGGTGTTGCCGGCATCCGGGCCACTACATGGAGGACCTGAAGGCTTGGATGATGTTTGGTATGCTTAGAGACCACCCGCTGCTTCTTAGATTGATGATCGATGATTTCCGGGATTTAACGCTCAGCCAGTCACCGTTCGGCGAATAGAGGAGGTGAACCGAGGAGGGGTATGTGGCGGTGGCTCGGCTTGGCCATGGTTTCCTGTCCATCCGGGGTGGCAACTGGTAGAAAGAAATGCAAAGACATAGACAAAGAAAGAAAGGGTAAAATAGAAAATAAAATATAAAATCTATTCCTGAAAATTCAGGAATATGTTAATATCAGGGCCCTCCTAGTAATAGTTATTCCCGGAATGTACCATTCCAAGGAACATTGTTCCTGAGAATAAAAAAATTTACCGAACAAAGGAATATGTCTATTACTGGAAATGCTATGCCATTCCAGGCCTGTTCCGTGAACCAAACATGCCATAACCGTTTTGAGAGAATAAACATAGGCATACCAAATCCATTTTACTAGAAATAAAGCTCTAAGACATGAACATATTGACATTATTCATCATGCATGAATTGAAACATTTAGTATCATATATTACTAAAGCCATACAACTCAGATTAACATGTGACAACACCTAACTAGAGATAAATCATATATGAAAGTCGACAGTACTTGGGAGGTGGCTTCTAAGTGGACATGCAACAAACCAAACCACTTCTTTAACAACAACATCCTCTGCCTCGAGTATTTGTCATCCGGAGAGAAGCCAAGTGACCTGCAAAAGTTAGTAAACACACTTCATAGTATATATATTCCTTCATGCATCTATACTTTTGCATTACCAAACAAAAACATATATACCATATATAGTTATAAATTGTTTTGTTGTCACAAGATTACTTACCATTGACACTAGTTTCTTCTCCTTCTTGTTTTTGATCTTCTTCGTTTGATCTTCATTGCTAGTATGTATGCTTCTTCTTCAACAAACCTTGCAATGAATTCTGGCTTTCCAGTTAGGAGCATGAGACTTCCCATGAATAATCCAAAAAGAATACCACAACTGTACCCAATTGCCACAACTTTTACGGTGCATCCGCTCAAAAAACTTGAATCGTCTTCTTCGGAGAGTTCCTTTGGTGCTGGAAGTGGCGGTGTCTTGCCATTCCCACAACCTTGTGACAAAGGTTTCCCTTTCAATCCATCATTTCCTTGGAATGAATTCAGTTCAAATGTATTGAATTGTGGGCCTTGAGGTATGCATCCCATTAACTTATTATGTGAGAGGTTTAACACTTCAAGTGTTGTAATACCTGCCAATTGCCTAGGGATAACTCCACCAATTTGATTCGAAGAAAGGTCTAAGGATTCCAACATAGATAAATTTCCAAGAGATGTTGGAATGTGTCCGGTGAACTTGTTATGTGATAAATTTAATTCACGTAATGCAAGAAGACCTCCGATACTATCTGGAATATGCCCTTCAAATTTGTTACTTGAGAGATCAATAGCACTATACATGATAAATATTATATGCAAAAGCTCACGCTCTTCCCCCTTCATTTCTACCAGCATAGAATCTCTATAGTAATATACAATATCAATAGTATCCTGATAGTTACGTTCATCATCTCCGTGGCCAATAATGTTTATGTCTATTTCTTGTGGTTTTTTATAGTTATCCACATTTGTCATGGCTTTAAAATCCTTGAAAAACCATGTGGGAAAATCTCCTGAAAATTCATTGTAAGAGAGGTCAAAGACACGAAGTTGAGGAAACAAATATCCTTTAATTCTTGGACTTGTTATGGAACCGTTCAACCGATTAAATCTCAAACTAAGAACCTTTAGTTTTGGAAGAGCTCCTAACCACATTGGAAATGTACCATTCAAGTTGTTGTATCCAAGGTCAAGAACTTCCAACTCTTTACAGTTGATTAAAGATCGCGACACAATTCCCTCTAACTGGTTATCACGCAAATTAAGTCGCAACAAAGAATTTGCCTTAAAACTTGTTGGAATTGATCCGTGAAATCGATTCTGATGCAAGTCCAACACAATGAGATCTTCATTGATGTTTACCAGGCATTGAGGAATTAACCCAGTTAATGAATTATTGGCCAAAACCAAAAATTGGAGATTACGTAAATTGCAAATGGTTGAAGACATAAGCATGGATGCTTGATTTTCACTCTTAGATGGAAGTGGTCCAGTGAGTCTGTTGGTGGAAATCATTAGATATTCAAGGTTTATGAGGCTTCCAATTGCCTGAGGTATTGAACCAGAGAGACTATTTTCTGACAAGTCTAGTTCAATCAAATTTTGCATCTTTCCTATCTGGGTAGGAAGTGTTCCAGTGAGATTGTTGGTGGAAAGCAATAGGGTTGTCAGGAATGTGAGGTTTCCAATTGTGTCGGGTATTGGACCATAAAAGTTATTATTTGACAAGTATAGATCCAACAAATTCTGCAAGTTCCCTATTTGAGGTGGAATCATTCCAATGAGATTATTGGTGGAAAGCCATAGATATTGGACCCATGTGAGGTTCCCAATTGTCTGAGGTATTGGACCATAGAAATTATTTTCTGACAAGCTTAGAGTTTCCAAATTCTCCAAGTTTCCTAAATTAGGTGAAAGCTTTCCAGTGAGGTTATTGGTGAAAAGCTCTAGAACACTAAGACTTGTGAGATTTTCAATTGTCAAAGGTATTGGGCCACAAAGATTGTTTTTTGACAAGCTTAGAGTTGTCAAATTTTGCAAGTTTCCTATCTGATGCGGAAGCATTCCAGAAAGGTTGTTGGCAGAAAGGTATAAATGAATTAAGTTTGTGAGGTTTCCAACTGTCTGAGGTATTGGACCATAGAGACGGTTATTTGACAATCCTAGATAATCCAAATTCTGCAAGTTTCCTATTTGATGCGGAAGCATTCCGATAAGGTTATTGGCGGAAAGGTCTAGAAAATTTAAGCTTGTGAGGTTTCCAATTGTATGAGGTATTGGACCTAAGAGACTATTTCCACCCATTTTTAAGTCAATCAAACTTTATAAGTTTCCTATATGAGGTGGAATAGTGCCTGAAATCTTATTAGCACCCAAGGAAAGGTGTTCAAGATTTGTGAGCAAACCAAATTCAGATGGAATACTCCCAATGAAGGAATTGCTCGAAAGATCCAAAGACATTAGCTTGGTGCAATTGGAGACAAAATAAGGTGAAATATTGCCAGAAAGAAAATTACGTGATAAGTCCAATTTAAGCAACTTGGTCAAAGAGGACATTGATGAAGGTAATACCCCGAAGAGTGAATTATTAGTTAAAGTCAAGTGTGTGAGGTTAGTGCAACGACCTAACTCATAAGGAATGGTTGAATTTAGGTGATTGTAGCTAATATCCAAGACTTGAAGATTTTTGAGTTGGCCTATAGAAGGTGGGATTTTCCCTTGAAAAGAATTATAGCTACTATCCAAGACTTCAAGATCTTTGAGTTGGCCTATAGAGAATGGGATTTCCCCTTGAAAAGAATTGGTGAATAAGTTAAGATGTTTGAGGCTGGACAAGTTGCCAATGCTAGGTGATAAAGGCCCTGAAAATTTATTGTCTGAAAGATCAAGTTGCTCAAGATTTTCCAAACTAGTGAACAATGACTCAGGGATTGATCCATTCAAATTGCATCCAGACAAATCAAGATAAGTTAGGTTCCGACAACCTAGTATGAAATCAGGGAACCTTGACCCAAATTCATTCCTAGATAAACTGAGATGTCTCAGCACAGGAAGACTCTTAACTTTAGACCGATCAGGAGCATCCAATAATAAATTTGATCCAAGGTCGAGGAACCATACCTTCTGAAGATTTCCAATCTGATGAGGAACAACTCCACTAAACGAATTGCTGTAAAGGTTGAGGTACTGAAGCTTCCTCAACTTCCCAATCTGTGGCGGTATGCTTCCATCAAACGTATTGCTGCTCAAGTCCAAGAAGAGCAGGTTGGACAGATGAGCAATGGCAGCAGGGATTGATCCCCTGAAGTTGTTTCCACCGATGTTGAAACGTGTGAGATTTGGAAAAGAAGTAAAATTGAGCTGATCAAGAGCAACAGAGAGGTCAGCATTAGGAAGATTGATCTCGGAAACAGCAGAAGATCCACCACCATTGCAGCAGACAATGCCCCTCCAATTACAAAGGTTTCTTAGGTTGGATAGTGACCATGATTTGAGTGAAGAAGAAGAAGAAGACAACATCAACAAGCTGCTCTTCCATTTCAGAAGAGCTTCAACTTCTGTTCTTGTTGATGTTGTCGTCTCCAATGCAAAGAAACAAGGCAGCACAAGAAAGATGAGTGCTACATAATTCCAACGAAAATTTCCCATACTTGAGGATTTTTTTTCTTTTTTAAATATCTGGTTATATCATGATACCAAGAAAGATAGGTGGCCTTTTAAAGATATGGAGATGAAACCACAGTACGTGGTGGATAGGTACATTGACCTATATTGACTTTACTTCAGGGTGTGTAATGAATAAATCTCACATTGTGACTTAGTCCGCAAATAATCACCTAAACTAATTTAATTAGATTGTTTATAATTGATTGATTTAAATTAAGAAAGTTAATATATAGATTGCTCTTGATAAAAGTTAGATTAATAATTTTGTGATTACGAAGTCAATAAAATAATTAATTTGTTTTAATTTATATTATATTTATTTTAATTAGCTTTAATTTAGATAGCATGTCCATTTCCAAATAAAGTTAACTTGGATGCTCTACTGACCTGGTCTGATAAAATAAACAATTTAGGAATTATGAAAATGGTTTCATTTCCTAATGGTAGTAATACTATAATTTGTTCTAAGAAATTTTATTCGGAGTGGACAAATTCCTTGTGCGCACCAGCATTTGATTATGTCTGTTGAGTCATTGTGTTACTGTGATTTACACTCTTTTAAATGCTCTATTAAATTATAATTTGAGAATTCTTGGAGTTGGGAATTCAACCTTTTGAAAAAAGTAATACTATAATTTCGATCATACGTGAAACCGACGGCTAAAGTGGAAACACCATAAAGAGGTCAACATAAGTACATTACATAGACAAACTTACTCCGCTCCTATAAACTTGAAAGACCCGTTAGGACTTAGGATAGATATATAGATGACTTATGAAAATTATTTCATTTCCTAAGAGTATTTTATGCGCAAGTGTACAACGGCAAATTATGCTGCGCAACTGTGTGTATCATACATGATGTACAATATTGTTCTATGTTTATAATTATAAAGTTATATATTCATAATTTTTGAACTTCATATTCATAATTATTGAATTCTATATTTACAATTATAGAACTCTATATTCATAATTTTCGATGATTGTTGAACTCTGTATTCACAAATCACAGAATTATATGTTCATAATTTGATAACTATACAGTTTAGAAATTATGAATCTACAGTACAGATATTATGAATTTCAAGTATAAAAATTATGAATCTACTATATTTAAATTATGAATCTACAATTTAGAAATTATAAATCTATAATATAGATATTATGAATCTACAATATAAAAAATATGAATCTATAGTATAAAAATTATGAATCTATAATATAGAAATTATGAATTGAAACCGTATGCACCTTGCATGGTGCAAACGGTTGCACAGCATAACGTTCCGTGTGCAACAATTCACAACGTTATTGACGGTTAATATAAGTTTCTAAAAAATTTGACTAACAAAATAAATACGTCAGAAGTCATTTTAAAGGCAAATAATACCGTAAAGACTACGAAGAGACAGTCAAGAAAATTAACCAATGGTAAGGACTATGAAAAACCAGCTAGATGAGTTATAATTTATAAAGGTAGGCATGATTATATTTAATCAATTGTTGAGTGCTGAGTGGCCATGCACTCTTGTCCCTTAAAAGATGTTGGGAGTTTAAATCACTTTTTGTTGGGTTGGGCTTCCCTCCTATGTGGTAAATAGTTCATGTTTGGACCAAGCCAATTTGTATCCACTATATTTTATTGAGGCATAATTATTATTATTATTATTATTATTATTATTATTATTATTATTATTATAATAATAATAGATGGTGAGGCGGCATGTGAATTGCAAAAGGAAATTCAATTCCTTTTTTGACTCCTTCTCCCCATATATATATGTTTTAGGGATTAGGAATGAAATTGAGAGCATTGCAGCAAGTCGGCAGTGAGGAGATAATTCTCTGGCTTCATTCTCCATCTTTTTCGTTCGGCAGTGTGGCAGTTTCGGCAGCTCGATAGCTTTGATCAGTTTCTTTGGTGCTTTGCCGTGAGGTTTGCCAGGTTCTTAGGTGCTTTATTCATCAAATATTTTGGAAGTCAGCTTATTTGTTCCAGGCATCTTTTGGGTATTCTCGTACTATTTGTATTCTATTCATCTTGCTTGTGGTGGTTGAATATTTTAAGTACGAGTTGGTATTCTGTTTAGGCCTGTGGAATATAATAGAAATCTTTGGCCTAGAATTATTGTATTTGATGATTTGTGGATGTTTGGCTCGTGTGGTAGCCTGAAACTTTGTACCCAAGATTTATTATAGTGGATTATTTGGTTGGTGGTGGTCCCGTGGTTTTTTCCCGATTTGGGGTTTTCCGCGTAAATCGTGTGTTCTTGTGTTTGATATTTATTTTTGGGCTATTGTGTATCATCTTGTGTTTGTGCTCCTGTCGGTTCTGTGATTTTTCATTGTCGCAGGAAGTGGGATTTTCCCAACAAAGTCAATGAAGGTACGATTGAATGGTAGAAATTATCACATTTGGAAGGCCAAGATGAAGGATCTTTTGTTTGTGAAGAAATTACATCTACCTGTGTTTGCAACTGCAAAGCCAGAAAGCATGTCAGACGAAGAGTGGGACTTTGAGCACCAACAAGTTTGTGGTTATATTCGCCAATGGGTTGAAAATAATGTTATGAATCACATTATCAACGAGACACATGCCAGAAGCCTGTGGGATAAACTTGAGACCCTGTATGCTTCCAAGACGGGCAATAACAAATTGTTTTTGCTAAAACAATTGATGAATCTAAGATTCAAGGAAGGTACATTGATCAATGATCATGTCAATGATTTTCAGGGTGTTCTTGATCAGTTGTCTAGCATGGGCATCAAATTTGAGGATGAGGTACTTGGTCTCTGGTTGCTTAACACTCTACCTGATTCTTGGGAAACACTTCGGGTTTCTTTGACCAATTCTGCTCCCAACGGTGTTGTGACCATGGAGTATGTCAAGAGTGGTATCTTGAATGAAGAGTCAAGAAGAAGATCTCAAGACACCTCCACTTCTCAGTCAGATATTTTGGTTACAAATGATAGGGGGAGAAACAAACAAAGGGGTCAGAAAGGTAGAGATAAAAACAGAAGTAAGTCAAGGTCATGGCACAAGGATGTTGAATGTTATCATTGTGGCAAGAAGGGTCACATCAAGAAAAATTGCTTCAAGTTGAAAAGGGAACAGAAGCAAGACAAGAAAGATGATCACACAGAGAACCAAGTTGCAACAGTTAGAGCCGATTTGCTTCTTGCTTGTGATGAGAACGCCGTCAACGTTGCATGCCATGAGACAACTTGGATTGTAGATTCAGGCGCATCTTACCATGTTACACCAAGGAAGGAATTCTTTACTTCATATAGTCCAGGTGATTTTGGAGAGCTAAGAATGGGTGATGATGGTCAGGTGAAGGTGATTGGTACCGGTACAGTTTGTCTTGAGACCAGCAATGGCACAAAGCTGGAACTTAAAAATGTAAAGCATGCACCGGGTATCAGACTGAATCTCATTTCTACAGGAAAACTCGATGATGATGGTTTCTGTTGTTTCTTTGGTGATGGACATTGGAAAATCACTAAAGGCTCGCTGGTTATTGCACGAGGTAACAAGTATTCTAACTTGTACTCTTTACAAAGCTCTATTTCTTGTGATTCAGTGAATGTGGCAGCAAAAGAATGTGCATCAGAATTGTGGCATAAACGACTTGGTCACATGAGTGTGAAGGGGATTGATTACCTTGCCAAGAAGAAGAAGCTTTCAGGAGTAAAGGAAGCTAGATTGGACAGATGTGTTCATTGCCTGGCAGGGAAACAGAAAAGAGTTTCTTTTATGAGCAATTCTCCTTCGAAGAAACCGGAGCCACTTGAGTTGATACATTCTGATGTGTGTGGACCAATGAAGGTTAGATCACTTGGAGGTGCATCTTACTTTGTGACCTTCATTGATGATTATTCTAGGAAACTCTAGGTTTACACTTTGAAGCACAAAAGTGATGTGTTTGGTGTGTTTAAAGAGTTTCATGCCCTTGTTGAGAGACAGACAGGGAAGAAATTGAAGTGCATCCGTACTGACAATGGCGGTGAGTATCGTGGCCCATTTGATGAGTATTGCAGAATGCACGGTATTAGACATCAGAAAACTCCTCCTAAAACTCCTCAATTAAATGTCTTAGCAGAGAGGATGAATCGGACAATTATGGAGAGAGTCAGATGTATGCTTGATGACGCAAAGTTGCCTAGTTCTTTTTGGGCAGAGGCAGTTTCCACAGCTGTTCATGTTATCAACTTATCTCCCGTTATTGCTTTGAATAATGAAGTTCCTGATAAGGTTTGGTGTGGAAAGGAAGTTTCTTATGATCACCTCAGAGTCTTCGGTTGTAAGGCATTTGCGCATGTCCCAAGAGATGAAAGATCTAAGTTGGACTCGAAGACTAGACAGTGCATTTTCATTGGTTATGGTCTTGATGAATTTGGCTACAAGCTGTATGATCCAGTTGAGAAGAAGCTTGTGAGAAGTCGTGATGTAGTGTTCTTTGAAGATCAAACCATTGAAGATGTTGACAAAGTGAGAAAGCCAGTATCTCAAGACAGCGGAAGTTTGGTTGACTGTGAGCCAGTTTCCAGCGAAGATACACATGATGTTGATGAGGTTCAAGAGAATGGCCAGAATGGTGATCTTGTACCAGATAATCAGGGTGATACAGCTGATGTGGATGGTCATGTTGATGATGTTGTGCACCAGGAACAAGAAGTTTCTTCGCAGGTTCCAGTTGATCCTCCTAGAAGGTCTAACAGGGAACGGAGACCATCTACTCGTTACTCTTCCAGTCAGTATGTGCTATTAACTGATGGGGGAGAACCTGAGTTCTATGAAGAAGCTATGGAGAGTGAGCAAAAGAGACAATGGCTTGAGGCTATGCAGGATGAGATGAATTCCCTATATGCAAATGATACCTTTGAGTTGGTAAGGGCACCAAAGAACAGGAAAGCTTTGAAGAACAGGTGGGTCTACAGATTGAAACATGAAGAGGGCACTTCAGTTCCACGATTCA